CAATTGCAGTATAGTCGGGCATTTGGGGTAGTAGATAATGGTATAGTGCTATGCCTTATTCGATGCTTGATCGAATCGTCGTCGTCTGTTTTCGAGTATGCATTGGAGTTCCACCCGTTTTAGGTGGTGTAAAACTCGGTGAAAATCGCGATATTTGCGGTGATATGCAGTAGTCGTGAAATAAGTGTTTCACTAGTGCTTTTCATATCACTAGGGTGATACTCCACTGTACGCGTACTGTTCCTGCTTTCTTGAACGGTATCGATGGTGAGCAGTGCTATTCGACTTTGCGTGTCAAACATAATGCCTTTATGCTGTCGATCTCGTTATTGGGATGCTGGCCCTGTCTTCCCAACTCCTGCTATACTTTCGTGGGGCTCCGCTCATCTGACCATGAGCTGTTCGTTATAGGGAAAAGATTTGAAGATGTATGGTCTGTCCAACGTCCCGGATGTCACAGTCCTCCCCATCGAGAGTAGCTTCCGAGCGATCATATTGGTGAGCTACGTGGAGAATTGATTCGCTCTTTGTAAGGGTGTCGTGACAGGCATCTGATGGTCTCTGGGATGTTTATTCGGCGCAAGAAGCGGCAGTAATAGCACAGACAGCGAGGGCGGCAGGTACTACGTCGTCATTTTCTGGCACATTATCAGTGTTAGTGAGATTCATCGATGGGCGATACTATTACGGCTATGATAGTCGCTTCCGCATTCGATGCGATATAGTGATAGTTCGATATTTTCTTCTCATACAACTTTGAAAATTTTGTCTATCTCACTAAATTGTATGTTTCAGGGGCTGCGAATTACTCGCTTGCCATTATGGTGAAGTAACAGACTGTTCAACTTCACTTTATGATGACTCATCGCTATCTCTAAGCCTTGTATAGGTTTCAGTCCGGAACACTACTTATGGTGAAGTAGTTACTTTTCGAATATGTCCATAAAAAAATTCGCTCCCTACTGTCGCATTTTATGCCGTAAAACAGATCCTATTCAGCATTGTCAAATAGGACTCTCGGTGTGTCCGTATTTCAGGAGATAGTCCAGCCAGAGCCCTCGTTCAAGCTGCTATAATGGAGCAAGACAACCGCCGAGTGAGCAGCGACAATGTGACAGTAATATGTGTATACTTTGTGGACAACCAGTGATGCTCGAATTGGGCGGAGTTACATTTCTTAAGGCTGTCTCTGAGCGGGCATCCCTGGGGGTTGACAACCGCATTGTCGTTCTTTTGTACAGTTTAATAGCATCGGTGATTGACTTTTCCTCAGTGTTGCGTTGCATTCAATTCATCACTGGTGAGGAGGAGCAGTAGTCGGTCAGCAAGTTTCGGTGTTCTCGCAGAAGGTGTATATTATGACGCTCTTGTGTTACCACTCCATGGTCTCATTTCGGAA